CTTTGAGAAACGATGTACAAATGTGCTTTACACAATTGATGTGTGTATGGATTGGGATAACAGTTGTATGAGCCCCTAATAAAATGTTAAAAAAAAATAAAAATAAAAATAAAACATGAAAAACAAAAAACAAAAGGACAAATACTGTATGAGACCACTATGGTAAAAAGCCAAGAAAAGGTTTTCACACTAGAGGAAATGTTCTTTGATACCATGGGTAGGAGTGGACAGGAGGATAAGTCACTGGCTAGGGCATAGCCACATGTTAGCTTGGGTTAAGGGGAAGGTGATATACAGTAAGAGGGAGTTTGGCAAAAAATGATGGTGCTGGGGAACACACTGGGAGGAGTGCAGAAGTTAAAGACAACAGAGGTAAATACTGCCATATACAGAGTCCTGCAGTAATGGCAATCTACAAGTAGGTGACACATAGATTGATAGTGTGTGTGCTTTTGGGGGTTGGTGGTGGTGGTGCGGGGGATTGGAAGTATAACTACAAACATCTATAGGTTTAACTGTACTTGGGTATTTACCTTTGCTGCAAATATATCCACGATTGTGGTGCAGATGTAGGGGGCAAAGTTACGAAAACTTCTTAGATATAACCAAACACCTTGAGAACATAAGTTCTGGATGTGGGGCTCAGGACCAAAATTCTAGGGGACACTAAGGTCAGTGGACATTATAGTCCACAAAGACAGTGCTCTACCTCCCACTTCATTGAGTAACAACAGGGATCTTTCAGGCTCATGAGCAGCCATCTAAGGTGCAGGTATTGGCCTCTCCCTGTCTAGAGGAACAAACTGATGAAAGTCAAGGTCACATGGAAACAGTTAATCCAAAAGACTAATGGACCACTTGAACATCAGTCTTCACACACCAAGACCAGAAGAACTAGACATTGTCCGGCGATCACCACTAACTGCTCTGAAAGGAATCCCGTTAGAAAGGCCTGGGTAGTAGGAGAAAGATGTGGAACAAAACTGCAGATTATCGAAGAGGCTCGGCTTACTGCTCAGCTGGAAACTGGTAGAACCCCCAAGACTGTGACCCTTATTAAGGATTGGAATGGAATTTACCTTCGTGGCTAATTTTTAGCGAAACAATAGACAAATTTATAAGGGGAACAGTAACACTAGTGAGGTATGTACACAGAATAACCAACCATTTGAGATCTAAAGGGAAGTGTTTACCCAAGGATAAAGTTCAGAAGGGTTAGCAGAGGAGGAATGGAAACAGGAAACAGGAAGGAAGTGAGGTAAATGATGGCTCTTCGAGGAGATGCAATGAATGAGACGTCACAATGGGTGTGGATTGTTGAAAACTGATTTACTCTGTAGATATTCACCCACTTAACAGTAAGAAAGTTAAAAAACAAAAGAAAAAAAGAAATGCTTAGGATGTTCTTCCAGTCAGAACAGCTTCTTTATTGTGGCTGCAGGCTCACCTCTCTCTGGTCCTTGGCTTCTCACTCACAGCCCCTTGGCCTCTGCTCTGTTCTTTCTAGTATGCCTGAGTGCAAAGGTGCTGAGCTCAAACTCTGGGTCCCCAAATTAAGTGCTGGAAGCACCTCACTGTGCAAGCAAGCCTCCTGTCTGAAGGCACTCAGCCTCACTTGCTCAGTGGGGTGGGGAGCTCTGTGCTCGCCCTCATGGTCTGACTCTCGGTTCTATTGCTGCTGCTCTCCTGCTTCTCAGCTGGCGTCACAACTTTGTCTCCAGATGGAGGAGGCTCAATGCATAGGCATCCCGAGGTCCAAGAGACATGCTCCACTGCTAGCTCTTCTGTCTTGATGGTCGTGAGGCTCCCATCTGTGATGAGATGGCCCATACTATACCCAGCAGGGTGGCAAAATCGTCCATTCCCCACATTACAGTTCCAGTTTTTTCTGTTCTAGTTAGTGCCATCAACAATCTCTCACAACTTTCAGCATTTCCCTCACCTTCTCTTACTCAGACCCATCCAGAAAAAGTCTTAGGGTGGGAGTTACAAAGACCCTGGCTAGTAGAGTTGTATCAGGTGAATTATTACGCCATGAGCGTATAAGCAGCATTGAGGACTTAAGGTGTCAAGATGGGCAGATGTTTCAAGGACAAAGAGAGGAACCCATTTGCCTTTTCATTACCAAGGAACGTTTGAGATGTTGAGCATCTGGTGCATTTTCCCCATTCTTAACCTAGTGGGTCACATGTAGGAATGGGGAAATATATAAGATATGCAGGAGAGTTCTTTAGGAATGAGAAAGTGTGTGGGAATATCTGCTGGTGGTAGTTATGAAATTTTGGAAATACAAGGAAAAAGCAAGCATCTCTATGGGACCAGGCAATCCCAAAGTTCAAAGGTCACAGGAATTGCACAACCCTCAGATCTTCCAAATGTTTGTTGTTTTGAGTACTTGGAAGTTATTCTACTACTGAAAAATGACAAGAACAGGGCCATGGGCCGTCCCCAAGTCCAACTACATGGACAACCCCTCTCCCCCCAGAAGAATTCACTTCAGAAGACAGCACTGAAACTACACCTCAGGGAGAGGGACGTGTCTGATCAGCACACAGGAGCAAATGAAGCGGGAGGGAGAGAGAGTGGAGCACATCCTGGCCCAACAAGCCTTGACGACGATATTCCTGCTCAGAGCAGCCAATCCACAGTGAGGACCATAGGGACAGCCCCACCATGAGACACGATATCCCTCACTGACCCAGAGCACTATGGGGGACAACACTGGAGACACAGTGCCGGAATTGTACCCAATCTGACCCCACCACACCGAGAACAGCAAAGGGAACAGAGCAATGAAGTCCCCCGGGGGATTACAAAAAATAGACTGTGGAGGCAGGGTGTGGCACTCCATCAGACTCCAACACTCCTAAAGGTCAACAAACAGACCTTGAACTATTTACAGGCTTTTCTCTTTTATTTGTCATTGTTTTTGTTGTTTTGTTTTCTTTTGTTGCTTTGTTTTGCTCTGTCTTGTTTTTGTGTATATTATCTCTGTATGTTTGTCTAGATAAGATAGGCTGGATAAACAATCTGGAGGAGAAAACAACGGGACCTTGGGATGATTGGGGCATGGGAGAGGGAGACCAGGGGAAAGAAGTGGGTATTAACAAACCCAGGGACAAGGGAACAAGTGATCCAAAATCGATGGCGAGGAGGGTGTAGGAGGCCTGGGTAGGGCTTGATCCAGGGCAGTGTAACGGAGAAGAATTACTGAAACCCAAATGAAGGCTGAGCATGATAGTGGGACAAGAGGAAAGTCGAAATAGAGGAAAGAACTAGGAGGCAAAGGGCATTTATAGAGGCCTAATTACAGGCATGTACATATGTAAATATGTTTATGACCATAGGGAAATAGATCTGTGTACATATATTTATAGGTTTAATATTAAGGTAGCATTGGACATTGGGCCTCTATTCAAGTATTCCTACAATGCAAGAACACTTTGTTCTATTAACCTGGCATTCCATGATGCTCACCTTCCTGACACGATCGCTGAAGACCAAGTGCATGCTTAAGCAAATGTAGTGAAGAAAGCTGATGGTGCCCGGCTATCAAAAGATACAGCATCTGGGATTTTTAAAGGCTTGAAGATAAACAAGTGGCCATCTAGCTGAGAAGCAACAAGGCCCACATGGAAGAAGCACACCAGCCTGTGTGATCATGAGGTGTCAATAGGATCAGGTATCAGGCATCAAAGACCCAGAACAAAAAATCCTATCAATGTGAATGAGGGGGAGTGCTGAGTCGAGACCCAAAGCCCACCTGTAGGCAGTTGGACATCCCCTTACAGAAGGGTCATGGAGAAGAGACGAGCCAGTCAGGGTGCAATATAGCACTGAAGAAACATACAACTTTCCTCTAGTTTTTTGTTGCTTTTTTATTTGTTTATTTAAATTTAAATAAACAAGAAGTTTATTTAAACAACAAGACGCTTGACTTGAAGGGAAAACTAGGCTTCATTTCTTGGAGAGTAATTTACCCCTACTTAAAGACAGATTGCCCTACATGTAACAGCTACGTACAAAAAAGTTATAAAATTGTCCTTGGTTTTACAATGATAAATGAAAAACATTAAAAATCTCCAATCCAACAAGGTATGCAAGGATTTTTTTATGTTGTTGTTTTTTGTTTTTGTTAAACAGTGAGAGCAAAATAACTTACTGGAAAATAAAGCAAGGAGCTGGATGAGCCGCTCACGGCGAAGGGGGTGTTTTCACAGAGCCAGTATTTCCCCATCCCATCTCCACTTGGTGTCGATCAAAACACCATTGGCCATTTAGTAAAAAACAAAACAAAAAAACAAAGGGAAAAATGCAATATGCGTGTGCACATGCACCAGTTACTTTATGTACAGTAAAGGAGTGGGGAGGGGAAATGAAAGAGAAAACTATACTGCAGTCGTCAGGAGGTGGTGGAACCAAATTGTGGTTTCTAATAGAGAATGGGTTCTTGGTCGGTAGGAAGAGAGTTCTGGAGGAAAGGAGCAGGCTCCCTCTTAGAAGACGCCTCCTGTCTGCTGCTGGAACACATCGATTGTATCTTCACCATCCATTTCCAACTGTGCAGGTGTGTCTGTTTCATTGATTGGCTGTCCGTCAAATCGGAATCTGATCTGCCTCATTGACAAACCCTGTCGTTCACAATAGGCTTTCATTAGTTTGCTAAGTGTCGTATGCCTCTTAATCTTAAACTGCACCACAGAACCATACTGCCCCGCCACCTTCAAATTAATGTGATCGTTGTTCTCAGTCTTGACTCCTTCCTTGGTTTCTTGTCGGCCATGGCGAGCGCCGAAGTCTCCTCCGCTGCTGCTTCACAAAAGAGGCACCTGGTCCGCACCAAACGAGCACACAGCTCCTCTAGTTCTTTAATGCTTACCCCCACCCACTACCCCACTATCATGACCCCAATTCTACCTTAAAATCTGGCTAGACCAGAGCATGTACACGGTACAGATAAGAGTTGGAAACACAGGGAATCCAGAACAGATAAACCCTTCAGGACCAATATTGAGAGTAGCCATATCAGGAGGGGAAGAGGACTGTGGGGTAGAAAGAAAATTATTATTTTTTCATGTGTTACACTGACCGATTTTTACCCACTTCTCTGTTGTCTATCCCACTGGGAGGGAGTTATAAGTAGATAATTGTGATCAGTTCCCTCTTTCTCTTCCCACCTTCCCCTTCCCCTCCTGGTATGGCTACTCTCATGAAACCTTCATAATTTATTAGGGGGAAGCGATCACAAGGATCTACATATAACCCCCTCTCTGGGGGATGGGCAACAGAAAAGTGGGTGAAGGGAGACGTTGGACAGTGTAAGACATGACAAAATAATAAATTACAAATTATCAAGGTTTCATGAGGGTGGGTTGGTGTAGGAGGGAGGGGAAAAATGAGAAGCTGATACCAAGGGCTCAAGTAGAAAAAAATGTTTTGAAAATGATGATGGCAACAAATGTACAAATGTGCTTGACACAATGGATGTATCTATGGATTGTGATGAGTTGTACGAGCCCCCAATAAAATTGTTTTTTAAAAAAGAACAGGGCCATATTGGACTTTGCAACTGTGGTCATGCATACCAGTTCTGCTGTGTGCTATTTTTCTTAAGCCAGATCTTCTCACTCCTGGAAGAAACCTTAGTAGGCTCTCTCCCAGATGCGTTCATCCTGCTCTGCAGCATCTGTTCTCAAGAATAGAAAAGAGACCGAAGGCACAGGTTCTGGGTTTCCTAATGCTGGAATAGAGGGGAGTGGAATGGCCTCATTTTCAGATAACAGTTTACCTGCATTGTGTGTAGTCATGTGGTGTGGGATACCAGCCCGCAATCAAACGGGCTGTAATTGAGGGGCAAAATTAAAGCGTGTCAGACAAGATACAGCATGAAATTGCTCTCCTCCCAGATGGCTATGATCTTAGCAGCCAAACACTCACAGAGAGAGTGAATATATTTTCAATCAAGGCTTATATACACTCAGGGGACATGCAAGCCCCCAAATTACATCATAACAGGAAGAGGTTGTACAATAGTCATACGTGCAACAGAAGGGGGATGAGCCAGTGGCATATACGCAATAGGAAGGGGAGGCACTAGGGCTGCAGTTCTCAACCTGTGGGTCACAACCCCTTTGGGGGTTGAATGACCCTTTCACAGGGGTCGCCTAAGACCATCGGAAAACACCTATTTCCGATGGTTTTAGGAATTGGGACGCCGCTCCTCTGTCTCCAGGTGGATCCGCCCATGTTCTGATATGCCCACGAGTACTGGTGTGAAGACTGTTACCTGTGCTACACCATGCTTCAAGACAAAATTTCATTTATTTGTAATTAGAAATAAATATTTCTCAATATGTAATTACATACTGTTTTTGTGATTAATCACTATGCTTTAATCGTTCAATTTGTAAGAATGAAAATACATCCTGCATATCAGATATTTACATGACGATTTATAACAGTAGCAAAATTACAGTTATGAAGTAGCAACGAAAATAATTTTATGGTTTGCGGTCCCCACCACATGAGGAACTGTATTAAAGGGTCTCAGCATTAGGAAGGTTGAGAACCACTGCGCTAGAGGCATACATGTGACAAGATGTGTGTACTTTAGATTCAAGATGGTAGCCTAACCTTGGCCCTCCCTGAGTTGGTTTGACCTTGTCTTTGGGCTCTCCTTTAGGGGAACAATCCATTATCCTTATCAGAAGGCAGTGGGCCCAAAGGGTGGGTCAGATTATAGGGTCTGAATGCTCAAGAAGGGTGATAACCCTCAGGGAGATAACCTTTAAGCAGGTGACCTCCCTGCGTATGGTCATTAACCATGTATGTAGCGCCTTAGGTTTGGCATATAATAGGGCACAACCTGGGGAATCACCTTTCTGTTTCCCACAATGTGGGATTAGGTTGAACTAATGTGGATGTTGAAAGGAATATTACTTTGAGCTAACTGAAGGTTTGAGGTTGCTGGGACCTTAAATAAGATTATGCTGAAAAGAGTTGTTTAATAAGAAAAGATTTTGAAATGCTGAGTGAATATAAGTCCTAGAAATTCCTGGGCCCCACACAGAGACTTTATGAATTGTGCTTTGTTCTTGTAGATAGATGGGGGTGGCTGCCAAGTGGCTTTCCCAAAGACAATTTGGGGGTGCCTTTTATTGGTAGGGTACTATATCTTTCTTAGTAGCACAGGGCTCAAGTGTTTGGCTGCTAACTCAAAATCATCACTTTGAAAGCAGCCACTCCATGGCAGAAAGATGTGGCAGTCTGATACCCTAAAGCAGCGGTTCTCAACCTGTGGGTCATGACCCCTTTGGGGGTCAAACAACCCTTTCACAGGGGTCGCCCGATTCATAACAGTTGCAAAATTACAATTATGAAGTAGCAATGAAAATAATGTTATGGTTGGGGGTAGGGTTCACCACCACAGGAGGAACTGTATGAAAGAGTTGTGGCATTAGGAAGGTTGAGAACCGCTGCCCTAAAGGCTTTCAGCTTTGGAAACCCACAGGGTAGTTCTCTTCTGTCCTGTAGGGTCACTGTGCATCGGAATGAAATCCATGCAGTGGAATTTTGCTTAGGGTAACATGCTGAGGTTATGGGGTTGGGGTCGGAGGGGTCACATCTTACCTCCTCTGACTATAGAAGGAGAAGGAGACCCCATACCACCCAAAAGCTCTTGGTCACAAGACAGAGCTCCGACATGCCTCTCCACCCTCCATCCTCCTTTTGCCCTGTACTGACACCAAACCTTCCTCCCACAGCACTGGGTGAGATCATCTATGGGCACTGTCCTCACACAACTCGCAAACAGTGCTCACAACTATGGGGGATTATTGGCTTGTTAACGGGATCAGAAAACATTAAGGAAACAGTCTTTGGTCCACGGCAGGGCCTCTTTTCAGCCAGAAGCTAACACTTCAGGCAGGGATCTTCTGTGCGTTCCATTCCACTGGGGGCTATTCTTGCCCCATGGTCCTGGAATTCGCTCTGTTTCCGCTTCCAAGATGGTTCTTCGGCATCCTCTACATCTTATTTGCATAGGCCTACCCCATCATTTGCTGGGAATTATAGAAGAGCTAGTATTAAGTAATTTCAGTTCACCACACCTGCACATTGTCAATGTTTTGTGTGTGTGCTACATGCTTTTCCTTCCTCTTTGTTTAAATAGAGCGATTGAGCATAGCACTTGACTCAGGCTTCTTGTTAGATACAGTTCCCATATTACCCTGTTTCCCCGAAAATAAGACAGTGTCTTATATTAATTTTTGCTCCCAAAGACGTGCTAGGTCTTATTTTCAGGGGATGTCTTATTTTTCCATGAAGAAGAATATGGTACACATTTATTTATTGTTTTATTAAAAGAGACCTTGCACTTCCTGTCTGCTCTGGCTGGCTGCGGCCAATAGTGAGCTGCGCTGAGGCGCCCAGCCACTATGATGAGTTACAGTAGCTTCAGGGGGCTTTGTTTTCAGGGAGGTCTTATTTTCGGGGGGATGCCTTATATTTCAGCAAGAGGCAAAAGTAAGGTCTTATTTTGGGGGATGTCTTACTCTTGGGGAAACAGGGTATCTCCACACAGTATCCCAAACTTTGTATCTAGAAGCTATTTAGGTAAATACTAATCAAAGGAACTTATATTAGGAGTTTGTCCAAAAAACGATGATCGTGCAGAAGCAGACAGTAGTACCGTCTGTGTGTTCTTCCAGTGTCTTCGTTTGGGCCAGGCATGAGGGCAGGTATGCCTGAACAGAATATGCTCTCTTGGATAGCCATAGCTCCTTTTGAGAGATGCAAAACTCATGGCCTCCTTTCACATTACGTACTTGAAATCTCAGCATTCTTTTGAGTGAAACAAATTAATCTTGAAATACATTTTCTTTTCTTGTTTAAGTCATCTTATTGGGGGCTCATACAACTCTTATTACAATCCATCCATCCATTGTGTCAAGCACATTTGTACATTTGTTGCCATCATCATTTTCAAAACATTTTCTTTCTACTTGAGCTCTTGGTAGCAGCTCCTCAGAAATACACCCACAAAGTCCAGTAGTTTAGTCTGGATGATGTCCTAGAAGGCCTTCACCCCATTCATATAAAATTAGAATATGGTTAATTACCTAAGTGGGAATATCCCCCAAGTGGGGACACTTGGGGACTATTAGCCACATTTCTAATTTTATTGTGGTGTTGTGTTTTATTCTTGGTTATTATATTTATGTAGACATACATTAAGGCTATTTTAGTGTCTACTACATATTCGTAACAGTTTATCATAAGTTATGTGGCACAGGAGGGGTTCTAAGGAAGAAGGGAAGTACTTGAGCGCTACAGAGACCTGGGGTATCTTTAGGCATGAGGTAGGACTTGCGCTTTCCTTGAGAGAGGGTCAAATGTGGAAAACTAGAGGGGAGAAAAGAGAGGAAATTTTAGAGGAGGAAAACTGAGGAGTGGTTGTTTGTGCTTATACACAGCTGAATGACCTTGTCTGAGCAAATTGTGTATGTGGGGAGGAGTGGGAAATGAGATTGGATAAATGAGCGAGGACTAAATTATTTATGGCCTTCAAAGGCCATTAGAGTAGTTTCAACTTGGTGTGGTAGGTCATTGAGCAGCAAGGAGGCTTTTGATTGGATGAGTTAGAAAAAAGAAAAGTATGTGTAAGGAAGGTAGATTGTGTAGTTTTGGTAAGATCAAAGGGGAGAATCTAGAGATAAAGGTAAAAAGTTGGGAAAGCGGGGGGCGGGCGGGAGGGGAAAAATGAGGAACTAATGTCGGGAGTTTAAGTGGAGAGAAAATGTTTTGAGAATGATGTACAAGTGCGCTTTACACAGTTGATGTGTGTATGGATTGCGATAACAGTTACATGAGCCCCTAATAAAATGTTAAAAAAAAAAAAAGTTGGGAAAAGGAGGTGGCAAAATAAAAGTTTTGTAATTAGGGAAAAGGGGGAACAGAGGAAAGAATGAATACTAAAATTTTCAAAGGGAATTTTTGTAGAATTTGAATGATAAGTAAGGAACAGAGGTGACTCTAAAGTGACTAGTTTTTGAATTTTTGCTTTTTATCTGGATGGGTTACTGTGTTCACCTTAATAGCAATAATTCCATGAGAATGCAATCTCTGTTGGAGTAGGGAAACTAATGGTCTTGGAGTGCGTGGCTTATGGAAGTGCTCAAGAAGCATTTATTGAAGGAGGCAAGAGTGCATGTAGACTGAGATGTAAATCTCACTTGCCCGCTATAAACTTAGAACAGGCCAGTTTTGTTTTGTTTACTACCAAAGCATCACTTTAAAAATTGTACTAACTGACCTCTTTTAGTAGCAAAAATCTTAGGTTTATTGTAGAAAAATTTGGAAAATACAGAAAAACACAAAAAAGAAAATTACAGTTATCTTGACTTTAGCAATAACCACAGTTGGCATATATATTCTCCAAGGTTGTTTTTTTTTTTTATGCGTGTATAAAACACTCAAACTCAGAAAGCTTGTGGAAACCTGGCAGGTAATACCTCATGCAGTCATTAAAGCTAACATCACCAGTCATAGGACAAATTTACATCAACTGTCATTTGCTGTACTTTAATAAGAGGGTAGTCTTGTCAAAAATGCAAAATCTAATGTTAACCATGAGAAAGCATCCCACAGATTCAATTGAGGATTAGTCTACAAATTAAATGGCTTCTCTTTAATGTGCTAAGACCATGGAAGATGAGAAAGGTGGAGAAACTGGTCTAATGTGCCAAGACATGATACCCACAAGAGTGCCAAGACATGATACCCTCATGGCAGCAGCAGCTCCTGGCCTGGATCCAAGACCAGAGGAAAGAGATATTGGGGCCCATAATGGCATGTGTATGGATAAGGTCTGAATATCAGATAATAATTGTATATTGACATTACTCTACTGTTCTTGGCGGTGTATTCTGGTTACTTAGAGCATCATCTTGTTTTCAGGAAACACACCAAAGTATTTAGGGGTAGAGGTGCATATGTCTGCAATTCACTTTCACACATTTTAGGGGAAATATATACACACAGAGAGAAAGAAAGAGAGAAACAAATTAGGAAATAATAAAGATAATGCAAGTGTGGCAAAATGTGACATTTGAGGAATTTGGTTATGGAATAAACGTGTATTCTTTCTATTGTTTTGCAATTTTTCTGTTAAGTCAGAAATTTTCTCAGAATAAGTTTAAAACAACAAATCCTAAGTGAGCCAGAGCTAAGTATTTTAATTTTCTTGTGTGACTCTTTCAACTGACTGCCATTGAGCCACTGCTGCCTCAGAGTGCCCTACAGAACAGGGGAGAACTGCTCCTGTGAATTCTCCAGACTGACTGCATGTTTACTTATGTAGTATTTGTGTGCGTGCTGCTTGCTGACTTCAAGGTCGCCATTCTCTTACTGTCTTAAGAGTTTTGACAGTATTTTTGAAAGTCTGGAAAGAGCACACTGGCTTGGCCACCAGGAGATGGGTTATATTCAAGGGTACAACTTATTTTTTAGTGAGACCTTGAGAAAATCATTGCCTCTCAACTCCAGATTCCTCATAGAAAACCTTTTTTTTTTTTTTTTTTGAGAGCTAGGTAAGTGGGTATTGTTCCCCAGGTTCTAGCTAAGGCTCTGGCTTCTCTGATGGGGTTGGAACTCATTGGAGTGCTTGCTATCTCGTTGTAAGCTAGTTGAAAAACACCCAAGCCTTCTCACCCAAGTCAGTGGAAAAGATCTGTAGAAATCTGAGCTAGAAGACACCTGTTAGACCGTCTAGTCTGTCTGTATGCCAGCAGGACTCGCTTGTTCACAGCACACCTTCCAAGTTCTTTCACCAACTCTCACCTGCTTTCGCTTCCAGCCAGTCAGTAGTTTTCCAGAGACTTTTCTTGGGTTTTTAGTTCACCTGTGCATTGAGTCATTTCAAAAGAGAATGCGGCTTTTCTTAACTTTAAAACGTCCTAAGTTTCTTTCATAATCCAAGTTTACATTGGGCAAGTATACTTTTCTATTAGGGCAGAGTTTTATAGGCAGGGGGACTCTTTTTCTCTAAGGTCGCAAAAAGGTTTAATTGATAAGCAATTAAATGCCTACTAACAGTAATATATGATGAGAAAGTGAAGAGGCTTATTTCAGAGTAAGAATTAAGATTTTAAAATTTGTGTGTTAAAAGTGACTAGAAACTGCTGCAGAAACGTCTGTTTGCTCTTACCTTGTTTTCAGTTGCTACTGAGTAGCTTTCAACTCCTAGTGACCTTGGGTGTGTTAGAGCAGAGCTACCCTCCATACAGTTTTCCAACGGCCTATTTGGGGGAGTAGAATGCCAGGCTTTTTCCCAGGGTTCTTCTGAGCACTGAAGGGTTGCCTGTTTTCACCAGCCCAGCCTCCTTTACCGTTGCTACTTACCCTTTGAATAAGTAGCAACGTGTGTGAGACAAGTGGATGTAGAGAAGTACGGCACTTTGATTTTGTGCTGGTGAGGATCTAATCTTTGGTCAGTGCTCGTTTGGAGGTAATTCAGTCATATCTCTTAAAACCAGAAAAAGATCATGGCTTGAGTTTCACTTCTCGGAATTTATCCTGTGGAAATAACTTACTCATTGCAGCAGCATTATTATTGCTGTTGATCGTGAATCAGGTGAAGGGTTACCTTCAACAATTCATACACATTCTGATTCAACTCCTGAGTTTCAGTCCCCTCAGTGTGCCACCTTTTATCCCGCTTCCTGTTTGCATTCCTAACTCCCTGAACTTGCCCTTGGTTGGATGCTGCCCCTTTGATCTTAAATGGCTGATTATTCCAATGCAGAAGTGAATTCAATTCCAGCCCTGAAGGATATAGTCTTGTGTGTGTGTGTGTGTTTTCTACATCTTCCTTCCATTTGTACCCAGGATCTTTTCATGTGATCCTTTTCAGAATAGCTGGTAGTGATAGTTGGGTGCAGCCTTATTTGTAGAAATGGAAACTGGAAAACAATCCAAATGCTCCTGGTTGTGGAATTAGCATATTATGATATTTCATATAATAATAGATTCTAAAACAGCTATCAAAAAATAATGTAGGAGGTTTTTTATCATGAGATGGAATGCTTCCCTAATATGTAATTGAGTGATGAAGGAAAGTTGCAAAACATATGGGTACTATTATCTCATTATAAATTATGGTGAAGACGTCTGGAGATCCCCTTGCAGAGGGGTCTCGGGGAGGAGATGAGCCAGTCAGGGTGCGATGTAACAATGATGAGAAATACAACTTTCCTCTAGTTCCTAAAGGTTTCCTTCCCGCTCCCACTACCATGACTCGAATTCGATCTTGCAAGACTGGCTAGACCAGAGGAGGTACACTGGTACAGATAGGAACTGAAAATACAGGGAATCCAGGACGGACGAGCCCTATAGGACCAGTGGTGTGAGTGGCAAAACAGGGACGGTAAAGGGAGAATGGGTAGGAAAGAGGGAACCGATTACATGGAACTGTGTGTGACCTCCTCCCTGGGGGACAGACAACCGAAAAGTGGATGAAGGGAGACGTCGGACAGGGCAAGATATGACAAAATACCCATTTATAAACTATCAAGGGCTCATGCGGGAGGGGGGAGCGGGGAGGGAGGGGGAAAATGAGGACCTAATGTCGGGGGTTTAAATGGAGAGAAAATGTTTTGAGAAACGATGTACAAATGCGCTTTACACAATTGATGTGTGTATGGATTGGGATAACAGTTGTATGAGCCCCTAATAAAATGTTAAAAAAGTGAAAAGAAAAAGAAAAAAATAAATTATGGTGAGCCATTATTTTAAGGATAGATAAAAATCTGAGACACACACACACTGAACCGTGAATGGAAGGTATTATGGGAGGATTTTACTTTTATAGCTTATATTTTTGTAGTTTGGTAGTGGTGCAATAAGAAAGGCACTTTTCTAAGGAAACAAACAAGATATTAAAAAAATATTAAGCTAAATCTTAATTTGTATACTTCTCATTTTAGCCGACAAGCAAACTTTCCTGTGTGGTTGCTGATTTTGAGCACTAAAGTAATGCTTTTCTTTTCACAGCTAGAGTTGGGAAGACATCGCTAATTATGTCTCTGGTCAGTGAAGAATTCCCAGAAGAGGTAAAGATTTGATTTCTTTCTCATATTAAAAATTTTTTAATTGCCTTAAAGTCAAATAAATTCTTTCCCTTTTGCATGCTGTCACTTTCTGAAAAATTCCTATCATAGTTGACACATGACAGCTCTGAACTAGGAGGAGGAACTAAATTAGAGTTGAGTTAAACTAAACTGTTGCTCTCACGTTGTTCCAACTCATAGTGATCCAGAATCCAGCTGCCTCATGGCTGCCGGGGTTTTGATCCTTAACCTTTCTCTCACTAATTGCCTGGTGGGTTCAAACCATTGCGCTACCAGGGCTCCCGGAGCTCACTTTCCTACCTCTGACCTTAGTTAACACATGGTCACCTCTATGCCTTAGTTATCTATCTGCAAAATGGAAGCCAAGCAGGATGTTAACAACCATCTAAGCTGAGCAACCCCTCCTTAAAAATAAAGTGCTACTTGTCAAACCAATTTATAAAACAGATGAATGTTTCTTTTCTTGGAATTAGAGTAAAATAGCTGGATCTCCACTTACCAGCGGCCTGACTCCTTAGATCTTTGAGGCATTTCCACAGAAGCGCTGGGATTCTGCGTAATAACCATGCTTGGAAACCATTTTCTTCCTGCCTGCTTCATTGTACCAATGAAGAAGCTAATTCATTCCAGCTTTGCTTACCTTAAAGGATTGTCGTGGATTTCAAATGAGATGCACTTAATAATTAAGTAAAGTGCCACTCAAAGTAAGATGCCTTTATTGTTATTGGCAATATAGGCATTTACATCTTGGAAGTTCCAGTAAAGGACATAAGTAAAGTTAAGGTATTGTTTGGGGAGTGGGATCAATACAAATGGGATGAAAACAATTTCTGTTTACTCCCTTTATTCACATAACAGATAGTCTTACCAGTTTGCATTCATCTTTCCTTTACCCTTATTTTAAGGAGCCCTGGTGGCACAGTGGGTAAACTCTGAGCTGCTGACTCAAGGTCAGCAGTTCAAACGCACCAGCCAATCCTTGGGAAAATGCTTATGCTGGCTGCTCCCGTAAAGATTTAGTCTCAGAAACCCTGTGGAGGGAGCAGTTCTACCCTGTCCAGTAGGGTTGCTATGAGTCCGAAACAGCTCAATAGCAGTAAGCTTTTGTTTGTTTGTTTGCTTTTATTTAGATAGGAATTTCCATATAATTTTAATATTCAGAGAGGAGTTGGATGATTCATGTCTTAGTGTTTTCAACATTTACAACTTATAGAAACTAATGCTTTTCTTGTCTTTTGTCTTTTAAATAAGCTAAGTATTGCATAATTTAAGGAATTAAGTGTTTTTTCATATGTGATTTGTGGAATCAATAACATTACTTTATAATCATTTTAAGTGTAACACTTAGAGGTTTTTTGTCCTAGTTTAACTTAGTTTAAAATTGTTTTAGAATAATCCTTTTGTGTGTGGATAAGGTGTTTCTAAGTGATGGAAAAAGTAAGTCTTCTAAATTGGCATCATTATGCAAAAGGTTTAGGTAGCTAATTGATTTTTTCTAGAAGAAAAGAGTTTTGATCATTTATTGGGAATTGTCATGGATTAATGTAGCTACTCATTTACAGATTTTCCTTAGGTTGTCTAGAGCCTTCAAAATTTTATGTTTGACACCTTGACGGAATGAATCACTGGGCCTGGAAACTCAGGACCATGGTCTTGGGGGACACCAAGATCAACAGGCATAACGTAATTCACCAAAACAGTGTCCTGCATCCTACTTTACTGAGCCGTGACTAGGGTCTTAAAATCTTTTGAGCAGCCATCTAATGTGCAACTGTTTGTCTCTCCCCATTTGGTGGAAAATAAGAATGATGAAAGTTGAAAGATATATGGAGACAGTTAGTCTATGGAACACGCAAACATCAATCTCCACAACCCTGGGACTAGAAGAACTAGATGGTGCCTGACTATCACTAACAACTACTTTGTCAAAGATCACATTCGAAGGTCCTCGATAGAGTGGGCGAAAAACGTGGAATAAAAACCCAAATCATAAGAGACCAGATTTATTGGTAGAGAGAGACTGATGGAACCCCCAAATCTATGGCCCTTAATCACCCTTCTGGTCTGGAACGGAATCCGCTCTCTTGTTATAATAATCAGTCATTTAAGATAAAAAGAGCAGGGTTTACCCAAGGACAAAGTTCAGAGGGTTAAGAAAGGGAGGAATGGAAACAGGAAACACTGGGAGGAAGTGGGATAGTAATGGTGCATTGAGGGAGCAGCAATGCAAGAGTTGTTGAATTGTTCATGTAAAACTTAGCTGCTCTGTAAAGCTTTAGCTCATTCACAGTGAAAAGCTGGTGGCAGTTTGAAGCCACCAGCAGCTCCTCTGGAGAAAGATTGGGCTTTCTATCCCGTAACCGTTTCAGGAGCACACGGGGGTGGGGCATGAGTAAGCATTGACTTGAAGGCTGTGAGGTTTATCTATCTATCTATTTATTTTGGGGTTCATCTATCTATTTATTTTGGGGTTCATCTATCTATCTATTTATTTATTTATTTTTGAGCCAGCAAACCTGATAATTCCCAAATTTCCTTTTATACCTTTATTTGCAAACCAAGGTTCCTCCCCGTGCAGAAGAGATCACCATTCCAGCTGATGTTACCCCTGAGAGAGTTCCAACACACATCGTAGATTACTCAGGTAATGCATTTTCTCTTGGAGGTGAAACTGCAGGGTTAATTTAATAATCCCCAGAAAAGTACTGAGCTTTACCAAATGTTCAGAGAGTGCTCCTGCCTCCAGTCAGTGATCATTTATTGTTCTCGCCCCATTCTCTCTCTTGGCCAGGCCCTCTTTCACTCCCCAAAGTCTCTCTCTGGCAGTTCTCTGTTCCCAAGTTACTAAGTTGGCTTTCATAATCACGAAGAAGCAGAAGGAATGGGATAATAAAATGTAAAGGAAAGCAGTTGGCAGCCCTAATTGTGGTGTGACTCCTAGCCATCCCATGTGGCAACGTAGAATGATTACTCCATAAGGGTGCCTTAGGACGGGGTCTGTATTGGAGCAGAAGTCCTGGGCTTTTCTCTGAGTTTGTGGGGAGTTTGAACTGCCTGCCTTTGGGTTAGCAGCAGAATGCTTTAACCATTGCACCACCAGTCTCCTAGATTAGCCATTGCTCTTTTTTTCCCCCCCAATACTTTTATTGGGGGCTCTTACATCTCATCACAATCCATACATTCATCCAGTGCAGGGGTCCTCAAACTTTTTAAACAGGGGGGCAGTTCACTGTCATCAGACCTGTTGGAGGGCCGGACTACAGTTTAAAAAAATACTATGAACAAATTCCTATGCACACTGCACATGTCTTACTTTGAAGTAAAAACAAAACGGGGCAAAAACACCCGGCGGGCTGGATAAATATCCTCAGCGGTCCACATGTGGCCCGGGAACTGTAGTTTGAGGACGCCTGATCCAGTGTGTCAAGCACATTTGCACATATGCTGCCATCGTCATTTTCAAAGCATCCTCTTCCCACTTGAGTCCCTGATATCCGCTCCCCATTTCTTCCCCCTACCTCCCCATTACTCTTCTTAAATTGGCATGTTTGCAAAGAGAAATTCAGAGTCAATTTTGTGATGACATGTTTTTATGGTTTTGAATTTTGCATTGGCCAATTACTGAGTTCTAGATTTGCTCTTTGTCAGCCTGTGCTCCAAATAAAGTAATAGCTAAAGCAGAGTCCGCTTGTTTACTACTATTTTCACCTGTAACACTTTTTATAATAGAAAATTGTCTGCTTCTTTTAACTTTTTAAAATTACTTTGCATTTCTCTTAAAAAGCCATGGTTATAAATATTTTGGTAGTACTTCATTTCTCTAAGCTGGTGTTCTGTATTTTCTAAAAAGAAATAGAACTATACTTTCTACTATTTGTAACTATTGGATACTTGAAATATGAGTAATCTGAATTGAGGTCTGCTGTAAGTATAAAATACGACTGGATTATAAGGGCCATGAAAAAGAATAAAACTCAATTTTTGATTGAATATATTGTAATTGTGATATTCTTAATATTTGGAGTTAAATAAAAATTAATTTTCCTGTTTTTACCTTTTAAGATGACTGTTACATTTTTTTGATCACGTAGATGGCTCACGTTTCATTTCTGTTGGGCAGCACTGTACTAGAGTTTGTGGGTGTTGGATGACTTTTGCTATGATCAGTCTCACGCTGGCATCATTTATAGATTTATTCTTGTTCAATATCGGTTGCCACATAATTAGATATCCTTCGGTATTAGATTTAAAGCTATTGATAACTCAGTGGGTGGAACAGTATTAAAAATCTGGTCATTGTCGATGCAGACGCTCTCCAGCTGCCATTGAGTCAGTTCTGGCTCACAGCGACCCTCGAGGGCAGAGCAGCACTGCTTTCTGGGGCTTCTGAGCAGACGGCCACATCGTTCTCCACTTGGCATTCTAATCACGCACTGTCATACCAGAGAACTCATTGATGACACCGGGGCCACTGTCAAAAACCTGGGCTAGAAAGAGAGTCCTTTCCTAACCCCTGGGCCTGGTTTTACTGACCTTTTGGCCCTGTGTGTAGACTCTTAATACGGACTTCTGACGCCAGAACCTTTTCTCCTAGCTTGGGTCCCTGACCTATTCTATTTGGCCTTTTTCAGCTCTGGATCTGACCCTGGCCTAGATTTATCACACAATGTTTTGTGCTCCTCCCTGTCGCAGTTAAACTCCTTCCCTTTCCTGGCATGCCCTTGTCTTTGCCCTCTCATCAGACACTGGACCTGGTCATCTTAAGGGATGCTAGGTGGGTCTGCATAGATTTTAGCTTGGCCTACAGTTTTTAGGAGAGTGTCTAAAATAAGAAGAAATGTTGACTTTTTTTACCCCTGAAAATAAAATCCTTTTTATCTCTCTCTCATTTGTAGAAGCAGAACAGAGTGATGAGCAACTTCATCAAGAAATATCACAGGTTAATTTTAGTTGTATAATACTTGTAGGTTTTTTGGTGGGAAACAGACTGTAATGATCCTGTGGGCCTACCATTTTCACTCTCTCACATCCCAAGAAGACTTTTAAAATTTTTTGTTATAAGCACTGACTTTTGAGTATGTATTTTTGTTGTAAATCTTTTCAGAATTGACCCAGTTTTCTTTCTGTTCTAAATTGTTTCTTCATATTTCCTTTGATCCACATGTATTAACTCAGTCATTCAGTGCTACTGTTTACATTTTTTAGTATTTAAAAATGTTAATTTTGTTTTCCTAGGCTAATGTCATCTGCATAGTTTATGCTGTTAACAACAAGCATTCTATTGATAAGGTAAGAAGGCACAAATATTTTACTCCATATTTACTTCCGTTTCATTGGGGCACTTTCAAAATTGAGCCTCATTTTAGAACTTTAGGGGGACCAAGGGCAGGGTGTTTTGCAGTCTTACAGCTCTGGCGCATTTTTGTTTTAGGTAACAAGTCGATGGATTCCTCTCATCAATGAAAGAACAGACAAAGATAGCAGGTAAAAAGTTCAAGCTGTAGGAAAGATGTAAGAACCATGCACTTGGCATCACCAGTTAACGTTTTATCATGTTTGCTCCATCTGTTGATCTGTTTACACATCTGCACCTTTTTTTCTGCTGAAGTACTTGAAGCAGCAGGTAGATATGAGAGCAGAGCAGGAACCAGAGCTCTGGGATGATGGTAATAGATCTTTTTAAACATTAAGTTTGTTACATTGAGATCTCATTTTACACTTCCCTTTCTAAAATGGCTCTTTGGGGGGAAAGTCTTGGTTCTAGAATGCTGCTCCCGCTGTATTGTGTGTGACCCGCCCTGTCTTAAGACGCCCCTCTGCTGAGGAGAGGGCTTCTCCATTGTGGCTCCACAATCACAATGGTGTTTTGAAGACCACAGGACTCAGAGGCAAATGAACAACCTTTGGAGTCTGGCTTGTCCACTTAGAGCTCTGGGACTTGACTTCATTGAACCTTACAAAGTGTTCTCATCGGTAAGAGGAGATGAGACTAATACCCATCTTGCCTACATACTGTAATTTTGAGACTCAAATGAAATATTGCTTGTGTAAATGCTAGAGAAAATTCTTACGGATTTCATGCAGGGAGAATTCATGTAGATGTGGGGGGGAAGCAAGAAAACACACATTTTTTATTTTATCTGAATGATATTTCTGGGTATAAATACTTTGGGCTTTAAGTGAAAATGGAAACAACATTGTTAGTACTATTTAATAGAGCTTACATGATTTATGGAACATTTTGAGTCATTTCTAAATGTTAGAAAAATCAGATTGTGTTAGTCCGGGTAGACTAGATAAACAAATCCATTGACACTCATATGTGTATAAAAAAGAGCTTTATATACAAGAGAAGTTGAATATTGAGAAAACATCCTAGCCCAGTCCAGATCAACTTCATAAGTCCGATATTAGCCCATATGTCCAATGCCAATCTATAAATTCCTCTTCAGACTCATGAAAAACATGCAATGATGTTGAATGTAGGAAGATCACAGACCAGTGGGTGGAAAGTCTCGTGGATCCAGTGGCAATAGAAGCATCTCAGCGCTGGCAGGGGTCTCCACGTGGCTCCTCCTGTTCCCGTAGCACGGGCTCTATCAGTGTAGTGCCACGTGTCCTGTCAGTTGGGTGCCTCTCAGGGAGTGAGTCGAGGGAGAGAGTCTCTCCTGCCTCCAAGGAGGAAATACAGGAGTTCCCATAATCCTCAGGAGAAAGTTATGCCCACAGAGGCCTCATTGGCTATGACCCAGTTGAATGACTAGATTTCACCCCTTCACTCTTAATCAGGGGTGCCCATCACTGTCACCTCAGACATTTTCAAAACATTATAATGTCCTACTCCCACCTGTGGAGTTTTAGAATCTTTGGAGTAGGGCTTGGACATGCATTTTTATTTGTTTGTTTGTTTTTTAATTGCTTTGCTTTTTGTTTGTTTTTTAAGCCCCATAGATTCTTTTTCTTCTTCTTTTTTTCCCTCATTTTATTGGGAGCTCTTACAGATATCCTAACATTCCATGGTTCAATCACATCAAGTGGTATTATAGAATTACTACCATAATCAGTTCAAAACATTTTCTTTCTTCTTGAACTCCTTGATATTGGCTCCTCTTTGTCCCCTCCCTTCCCCACCATACCCCCCAGGAACCCTTATTGTTTTTTTCTATAATATTTTTCTGTGTGTGTGTGCCATATCTTATGCAATCTAATATATCCATTCACATACAATTCTGGTGTTTGATCCCATCAAGTGGGGCTATGCAGTCATCAATGCTATCAGCTCCCCATCCCCCCTTCCTATACCCTCAGGGAACCATTGCTCCTGTTATTATTTCTGAAGCGTTATCTATCTTGCCTTTCATGTACCTAATGATCTTTCTTTTTTTTTTTTTTTT